TGACCAGAACCTGTGCTTTGTGTGTATGTATGTGTCCCTTTACTAACCCTGAATGAGTGTTCTTTTACATCATAAAACATGGTATTGGAAGTAGTGATTTAGTCTCCCGCTGCTTTCAGCGGGGACATCTTTTGCCGTTTTTTTTTTCTTCTAACTAACCATACTTCCTCTTACCGACTAGTTGCTTATTTTGAGTTGTTTTCCGTTTCTTAGCAGGGAGTGCCGCGACTTTGCCATTTTTATGTTTTCTCTGGTGGTAAAGTAAGGTTCTGTGAGTCGCTGGGCTGAGGGAGGGGGCACTCCTGGTCACCTATTAATGGGTGGCGGTGTAGTTAGAAAACAAAAATTAGAGCTGACGCTTAATAGGTCAGCAAGGTCACTCAGAGGCCAGCACAGGGCCCTCAGAAGCCGGAGTGGGGCCCTTATGGAGATGTGTGATGTGTGGCGACTCAAGAGCCCGTGACTCCGTGAGGTGCTCTCACGAGTCCTGCGGGTCTTATCTCATTCGAAATAAGGCACGCTTGGACCCTGAGCGGCCAATTGGCACTGCAGGGCCTCTCGGGCCCATAGGGCACCATGCATCTAATGAGGCGGCACGCGCCCCTTGTGCCCCCCCCCCCCCCCCCCGGTTACGCTGCACTGGCTGCGGCCATACAGGTAAATCATATTCTAACCGTCCCTTATCCCAAGCATAGGCGGCGGCCGATTCCTGGTTTGCGCAATATAAGTGCCATCGTTAGACAATACGGTCAAAAGGGTTGAAGCGGCATGACTCCCCTGTGGTAAGAACTAAGAAGCAACATATTTTTAGACAAAATAAAGCAATGACAACTAAATTGAGGTTACTAAAACGACTCTGATCACAAAAGTAGGGGAGAGTGGGGTAATTTGGCCGCTTTTTTTAGAAAACGATGTAACTAAAAATCGACAACACATTTCTGCATTTTCTCAACGCTGCCAGGTGTGGCATACATTTTACTTTCCTGGACAGTAAACTTGAAATGATAGAGTAACTACTTATATTGAAATTGTGACGTATTACAAAGGTCTGCAAAGCGGTCAAATTGCCCCACTAGCAGGGTTATTTGGCCGGGGGTGTGGGGCAATTTGGCCGGTGTTAGTTTCAGGCCATGATTTTTGTTATAGGCGAGTCAGCTTCACATTCAGCAATGACGCATGTCCTACGACGCATTTGAAGCATTTTGGAGGTTGACTCAGCCGTCACAGGGGTCGAAAATAGTCAAAATAGCGGCTCTAGATGCGATGACAGTTTTTTACGAATAGTTTTTGAAGTAATCAAGCTAAGCCAAAACTAAAAGTACCATCGTAATTCTCTCGTCATTCCGCATCGAAACATGTATGTGTTGACCTCGAGAGGTCAAGGTCAAAGGTTGGCTTTAGGTCACGTTACCTCAGGTCGCTTGACCTCAAGGTTACGTGAGTTCAAGGTCATCACGTATATCATGCGATGCGCCTTGACGAGCTGAACACAATGAGACCATTTGCGCGGCTGTATCTTTTTCTGTAAGTATAAAAAAGCGTTAGGTTACCTTTGATGACGTCACATGCCCTTACAGCTGTCCAATAGGAAATATGGCATCAAGGTAGTCAAAGTTGGTCATGAATTATGTCCTTTATGTTATAATTGACCATGACAACTGTGCCGTCCCAGCATAGTGACTCTGAGCGCACCGGCCAAGTTGCCCCGCTAGTCCCGGCCAAATAACCCCACATTGCCATTTTGAAAATTTTTGTCTATAAAGTCGTCATGGCTGTACAGGACTAGATGAAATTGCTCTTGGAACCGCTGAACACCCTCAAGAATGGCGCTATAATGTGTGAATTCGTTTACAGTCCAAATACTACATGTTATACAAATTTTTAAACGGAAGTAAAAGTTATCATTTTCTAACGAAATTCACGCTTTATTAATTTTGAATAAAACTAATAGGGGGAAAGTTTTGACATTTGTTCTGTAGTATGTTCTGACGATGACAAATGAATACAGACTAAAGTTATTTCATTCACTTTTATCAGCTTTCGTACAGGCGGGGGCGGCCAATTTACACCACGCACCGGCCAAATTACCCCACTCTCCCCTAGTTACTAGGAAGGCTTTCTAATCCATTTTTATTTAGTCCCTCGTTATAGGCGTAAGAAGTGTAAGTCTGAACGGGGGGGATACTTGTACTGAATGCCCTCCCCAGGCTCATGTCGGGGGGGGGGGGCATATGCCTCTAATGCCCCCCCCCCCTCCCTGGATCCGCCAGTGTATAAGGACCAACGATAAATGTATGTATGTTCTGGACCGAAGCTTTAGCCGACCTAGGAACGAGACCATCCCAAAATGTTGGGTTAAGTGCAAACTGGTAAATGGTAATGCATTTTTGACCGTGGTCAATTTGCTTACACCAGTTATTACCACACCCCTCCGGCTAATGTAGGGGAAGGTGGGGTAAGACGGCCCAGCGGGGCAAGACGGACCACCAGCCCTCCCGGCTGAACTGCTGCTGGTATCTACTGCTTTATGTACTCACTATGTTTGTTTTCCTTCGTATCAATGGCCACCTTGAGCTCATGCTGCTAGGATGCATAGATTTTGAGTTATTGAGAAAAATGTTGTTTTTCGTCAAATCGATCTAATATAAGAGGTCTACGGGTGATTCAATTACGGCGCCTTTCTTGCATGATTAGTTTCTATTTTGCACTTAACTGTGAAGAACAAAGTTATAAACTTAGTTATAGTCACACTTTAGGGAAGGCAAGGCTTTGCAATGTTGGGCTATTTGACATATACGTCATGATAATGACATAATTTAGATTTGGGGCAAGACGGACCACTGTGGTCCATCTTACCCTGTGGTGGTTCATTGTATGTACCCTGCATATGGAAAGTTCTTTTCCAAAACATTGGCACAAGTTTAAGTAAGCTAATTTTTCAGGAAGGAGTCTTTGTTGCATGTGAGCCATGCATGTAAGTGGTCAGTTAGCATGCATGAATGCCAAACGACAATCAACACACATATTCCCAGCTTTTAGCTGCACTTCCATCACACATGAGTAAAGAATAAAGGCTCATTTTGTTATTTTACCATTCTGGTTACTTTTTCTTACAAGAGTACAGAGCAGAAGTGTAACACACATGAACGGATAACAGGCACTGCTGGGTGGTCCGTCTTACCCCACGTTTTTTCTTGTCTGAGTTTTTGACATGTCCCTCTTTAAGAGCATCCACCACCTAGATGTCTTTAATTTGAAATTTAGTGTGTTATCCATGACAGATATATATATCAACATATCAACACATATCAACAGAGAAAAGATTGAGCATTCCGAAGACTATAAATAATATGAATTACGAGAGCAGTGTAGCAAGATATGCGGCCTCAAACCTTAGCTGGTCCGTCTTACCCCACCTTCCCCTATTTGTGTAGACATGGCCGTGAGTGATTAACTGTACAGCATAGTCAAAGTAGGTATATTCTGAACAGTGAACACCAAGACCAGTTCAAAGCCAAAGTCCCAGTCCGAATCTCAATCAATCCCCCCGTCTCGAACATGACCTTGAGACGACCTTTTGGCACAGAAGGTTCCCTAGGGGAAACCAATTGGCGGCTGCCCTGGCGTCGCAGCGCCAGCCAATCAGCAGCCGCCATCACACTGTCACAAGCCGTCGCCGCAAAGCTCTGCATCTAGCCCACGGCGCGTGACCTGCGGCCGCGGGCGCTTGCAGCGGTAGAGTCCCGAGTCCGACTCTGTCGGCGTCGACGCGGCAATTCATATAGCCGCCCGAGCTATCGGCGGCAGGCACCGGAGCCCTCCTACATTTGGATAGGCCAGGCATACAGTAATATACAATTACATGCCCACTTTTACTATCATTAGTCGCGGAAAATTTGAAGCGATCATTTAGTCGGCGCGGCGTAGCCATGGCGAGCATTATTATTTTTCCCGTGGAAATGTCATTTGACGTGACTTGGTGACCTGACCTTGAGCGATCAGGGTCTGAAATTTTCGCTAACAAGTGCAGAAAAAATGCATTATAAGATGTGTGCCAAAAACAGTCCCTGCCAGGCGGGGATTACGTCAGTCATCACACTCGGACCCAGACATAAGAAAACAAGCGATTTTTAGGCATCCATCCACTGTTGCACCGGCGCTTGCAGGCTTGAATATTTTCTCATTTAAGTTTATTTTGATAACAGACTTATGTCGTGTAGTTTGACTAAATGCTTTTTTAATTCCATTTCCCGTTGGGTAGAACAACATGCAAGAGGCAAGTGGTTTCGGATACATGTAGATAACAATATCGTTGGTGGAGTTAACGTCTTTGACGAGTGTGATGGATTACGGAATGTGTTCGTACAAATTTGGGGACAGAGGCGACGCCCCTGGCTGATGACATAAAGGCGACAGAAGTAATTTCTTCCTTATTTTTTGGCGCTCTTTCAAACGCTGCCTACGTCGTGTCGCCACGTGGCCCGACGGGGGGGGGGGGGTCAACCCCTCCCCCCAGCAGGGCTTGGAAATCCAGGACCCCCAGCGGGGCGCAGGTTAATACTACATATCCAGAGATGTGCCCGAATGTGTCCGATAACACAAGAAATTATTAGTTACCTACATCAAAAACGTAAAAAGTGCACTAAAGTGATCTTTTAACTTCCAGCATAAACAAATGTCTACCAACTTTAACGAAAAATGTACCAGTTTTGAGGCATACAACTTTAATATTATTGGCCTGCGTCGTGCCTGTGACGTCACAAAGGCTTTCCTAAGCGGAAATTTGGAAGCAACAGTTTTGAATCCTACTTAGTTTGTCACACTGATCGGCGAATGCATGAGAAGTAGCGCAATGACATCCCCCGGCTGTGCTGAGCGCCAATGTGTCTGGTGTGCGCTGTTCCAGGTCCCGGCTGTGCTGAGCGCCCATGTGTCTGGTGTGCGCTGTTCCAGGTCCCGGCTGTGCTGAGCGCCCATGTGTCTGGTGTGCGCTGTTCCAGGTACGGTATCGTTCACGGCGGCGGTGTGGGCAAGTTTCTGGCCGACTGGATGCAGCGCGGCGAGCCGCCCTACCACCTGGTCGAGCTCGACCCGGCGCGCTACGGCAGCTGGACCACCGACCAGTACAGTGTGGCCAAGTGCCGCGAGAGCTACGGCATGAACACGGCACTTGGCTACCCCAGGGAGGAGCGGTTCGCAGGTGCGCGGACAGTCAGCTCACCGGCTACCACAGGCCAGACCCAGCTCTGGGGCACTGGCTTTACCCGCGCATGACTGCAGGGACAATGGGGGGGGGGGGGTGCGGAATATGTCGGCCGAAAATGGCGTATTCAGGGGGGCATGGGGGCCATGGCCCCCCCCCCTTTCCGTCCAGCCGCCCAGATGGCGCCCCAATTAGCGCCGACTAGGCTGATGCTGTTTTACAGAGGGAACATAAATTAAAAAGTGATGTGCAGGCAGGGATCGAACTCAATATCTCTTTGGGGGTGCCTGGACACCCCTATGTCCTCCAGGGCACCCCCCAAATAGGACCTGAGCCCCCAATGTTGAAGGGTGCCCCTCCGGAAACCAGAATATTCCGAACCCCCAGGGTCGATGGCGCCCCTGAAGAGCCGCTGGCACCCACCTGAACGGAACAGTCGCCCCATTAAAGGTTGATGGCGCCCCTCTGAAGTTCACAGTTGCCCCATTCGGCCCCATCCAAGATCGATGGCACCCCCTGAAACCACTGGCGCCCCTCTAAAGCACCTGCATTCTTCTCAAGATCACAGTCGCCCTATTCAAGATCAATAGCGCCCTCAAGAGAGCCACTAGTGCCCCCCCTTGAAACTGAAATCGCCCCATTCAAGCCCAATGACGCCCCTCCAGAGAGTCCGGTGCGCTTCTGAAGATCACAGTCGTCCTCATCCGAGGTCGCTGGCGCCCCTCAAAAGTCACTGGCGCCCATCTAAACGGAGATCACAGCTGCCCCATCTTAAGATCGATGGCAACCCTCTGAAACCAATGGCGCCCTTCGTACCCGGCGCCCCTCTGAAAATCATATTCGCCCCATCCGAGACAACGCCCCTTGAGACTACAGTCGCCCCACCCAAGCTCAAGGCGCCCCTCTAGAGCGTCCGGCGTCCTGCTGAAGGCAACAGCGGCCCCATTCATGCCCAATGGCGCCCCTCAAGAGCCACTGTCGCCCACCGGAACCGGGACTTCATTCGCCCCATCCTAGATCAATGGCGCCCCTCTGAAACCACTGGTGTCCCTCTCCAAATAACAGTCGGACCATCCGAGGTCAATGACGCCCCTTCAGAGCGTCCGACGCCCTACTGAAGGCAGCAGTGACCCCATGCAAGCATTACAGCCCTCTAGATCACCCGGTGGCCTTCTGAAGATCACATTCGCCCTATCCGAGTTCGTTGACGCCCTCCAGTAGTCACTGACGCCCATCTGAATGGAGACTTCAGTCGCCCCGCCCCATTCAAGATCTTAGCGCTCCCCCCCCCCCCCTCCTCAGAAACCACTGACGCTAGGAAATTATTTGACAGTGGGGCTCTCTCATCGACACCAAGGGCCCTTTTGAAGATGCAGCAGCCAGGCGGCGCCGAGCTGGGCTAGGATGTGCCAAGCGTTTCTTATAAGGCAGCCTCGTTAGTGCCACCCCTCGTTGCGATACCGCCCCTCAATGCGACACCGCCCCTTCACCGTACAATGCCACTCCTCAATGCAAGTGGTGCGTCTCAGCACAGTGCCGCCCATTATTGCGATACCACCCCCGCCTAGCAGTGCGGTGCCGCCTCCAGCGTATGCGTTTTTTTTTTTTATTGAACCTGCTGGGGGTGTTTGAACACCCACTTCTAACTCAGCTTGTGGGCCACGTTGAGACCCGCAATAGGCGGCGTTCGAAAGAGCGTCAAAAACTTTTGCAAAACTACTTAAACCATTTTTAAGGTTAGGTCGAACTGGTCAAAGGTCAGGTCACCAGAGACAACCGAAAATCAAATTTCGCCGATTTCGACATTTTTCGACAAAGCGGCGCGTAAGTCAGGATTCAGAAAGAGATTGAGCTACAGCCCCGCAGCAAAGCGCATTCGATAGCTCTTTCTTATTAATTATCTCAGATTTGACCTAATGTAAACGTTTTAGCCTCAAAATATACCCCGCGCACCGACGGGGGTCTGCGCCAACTTCGCACCGACGGGGGGGGGGGGCGGATGACCGCCCCCCCTGAGATCTCGAGAACGAAGCAAGATAGCGACAAGCGGTAAACGACATCGGATACGCACGGTCAAGATCTACAATTTTTACAAAGGTCATTTTTAGGTCAGGTCAAAGATGACGTCACAGGGGTCAAAAAAGTCAAAATGGCGGCGCTAGATATGGAGAGAGTTTTTCTCAAATAACTTTCGAATTAGTCAAGATAGGAGCAAACTAAGGGCATCATCGTGATCCTCTCGTCAATCCGCATCGAATGATATATATGTTGACCTCGAAAGGTCAAGGTCAAAGGTTGACCTCAGGTCACGTGACCTCGAGGTCATCATGTATATCATTCGATGCGTCTTGACGAGCTGAACACAATGAGACCATCCACGCGGCTGTATCTTGTTCCTGTACGGAGTTATTGGCCAAAAACCTTTGGTGACCTTTGATGACGTCACATGACCTCACAGCTGCCCAACAGCAAAACAGACCTCAAGGTAGTGAAGATTGATCGTATATGAAGTCATGTATGGTATATGGGGCCATTCCGACCCGTTTTAGTGGTAAAAACAGGGAGTTGATTTTTCCCCCATTGACTTATAATGGGGAGGTCGCGAAATTGACCTGACCTTAGGTCACCGACATCAAAATTCCGAGATATACAAATTGTAGCTACTAATGACCTAATAACATCCTGCGACTTTCAAAGGCCTCCGACATCTACTGTAGCTCTGGCACGGTGACAAAGTTGCAAGAAAGTGATTTGAGGTTGGGTTATTCAAAGTGACCTGGTGACCTGACCTTAAAAGGTAGGAGGTTCAAACTTGCACACCATGTGTGAAATTGATGAGGGAATAGTCATACCAAATTTCGCGGCGCTACGCGCCGCGGTTTTCCCGCTATTTGCGAAAAACCTCAGGGGGGGGCGGATATCCGCCCCCCCGTCGGTGCGCGGGATACGTTTTCGCGGAGGACGTATATCTGTAATACCTTTTGACTCAGACCTGCACGAGATTAGTTTAACCGGCATCGTGTTCCATTTTTCGACACGAATCAAATGAATTAGTATTTGACATAAAAGGGCATTTTGAGAATTTGACCAAAGGTGAAGGTCATCACCTAACCGGAAATGGCATATTAGTCGATCCGTATTGTTGAGAAGGAAAATAATTATATAAGGTGTTTTATTGCTCTACCATATCTCTATCAAAAGTTATTGTCCAAAAACTACTGAAGACCTTTCATGACCTGATATGAACTCAGTAACATAAAAGGGGTCACATCACGAGTGAAATTTTCCGATTACATGTGTCATATTTAACTGTACCCAGATGTTTGAGGGTGTTTTCGTTCAAAAGAAGAGCATTTCAATTTTCTCCCATTAACCCATTAGATACGCTTGGCAGCTTTTGCTGCCACAGGACAAAATAGCGCCGCATTCCTAAACGTTGCGGTGAACTTTCAAACTTCTCACCCGTATGGAAGACCAAAACAATGCACGTCATGTGCGCTCCGAATTATTGATCGAGAAAGCGAACGTGCTGAGAAATAAACAATTTATCGCGGGGGTGCAAGGGGCGCGCGATTGCGGTCGTGCGGCGGACACCAAAAAAGTCAGTTGCGAAGGTGGTGTGAATAAATGTTACCTTTTTATTATTGATTATTGTAAAGAAATGTGTGATTATCAATGGGAAGAGCTTAGGTGCGACATCAATTTCTCTAAGCATCGCCAATCGTGCGTTATATTTAAGTGGCAGCAAAAGCTGCCAACCGTATCTTACGTAGTCAAAAATGGAGCAGTTACGTCCTTTTTGCTATGCCATTCGTGAGTGAGCAACAATGTCTGGCTTTATGGCTCATAGTGTAATTCAACGCTCATTTCGCGTCGGTCGGCCCTCGCGTCGCGGCTGATGTCGCTCGCTCCGGAGGCGCTGACGTGGGGCCTCGCCCGCCCTGTGTGTGTGCCTCCGCCTTAGTGCTGGGGCCTGTCACCCTGCCGGAGCTGTCTGAGGCTATCAGCTCCATGAGCTCCTCGCGCGCCGTCGGTGTGGACGGCGTGCCGCTATTCGCGATTGTGCGTAGTTTTGCTGTGATAGGACCCCATCTTCTTCACATCATCAATCACTCCATCTCTTCCTCCGTCTTCCCATCCGCTTGGAAACTCGCCCGCGTCATCCCCGTCCACAAATCTGGCGACACCTCAGACCCCAGCAACTACAGGCCCATCTCCATTTTATCCGCACTATCCAAGATCATGGAAAAGGTCGTTTCTCGCCAACTCGTGTCTTATCTTGTGAAAAACAATGTTTTGTCTCCGCACCAGTACGCGTATCGTCCGTGTCATTCCACGGAGGACGCCGTGCTCGACGCTGTCCACTGGATATCAACGCAGATCGACGCTGGACGAGTCGCGTCGCTGACGACGCTTGACCTCAGCAAGGCGTTCGACAGCGTTGACCACGGCGTCCTCCTGGACAAACTGGAGTGGTATGGTGTGAGCTCGATGTGGTTCAGGAGCTACCTGCACGATCGGAGACAGGTAGTGACCGGCGGCTCCTCCGATCCCCTCCCGCTGACCCATGGCGTGGCCCAGGGGTCCATCCTCGGCCCAATCCTCTTCCTCATCCTCATCAACGACCTTCCCTGTTTCCTCACCCATGGCCGACTCCTCTCCTACGCAGACGACACCCAACTCCTCGACCACTCACTTCCAACAACCCCAGATCTCTCTCAGCTCAGATGTCGTGTCGAGCAGTCAATCTTCGATCTCCAGCTGTGGTTCCAGGCCAACAGTCTAAAAATGAACCAAAACAAAACCTTTATCACTCTCATCGGAACCCAGCAAACTCTAAAAAAGACTGAGTCATTCTACGTCTCACTCTCCGGTAGCGACATTCGGCCAAGTCAGACCGTCAAAATTTTGGGTGTGCTGCTCGACCGACACCTGACGTGGGATCCCCACATAACCATGGTTGTGCGTCGCTGCAACTCCATCCTCGCATCCCTCCA